TATCTTCTATATTAGTCTTGTGAGTCTATAAATCGCAAAACTAGGAGGAGAAATTGCCTGGGTCTGGTTTTGTCGTATTCTTGCTCGTCGTACTCGTGAACAGAGAGTATTAGGATTTACAGAGGTCTGTCCTATATCTGCCATGGAATTTCTGTTGCAACTCTAAAGAAGTTGCAGATTTGGATACAAGGAAGGGGTGATAGATAGAGAGAAAAATATTATGGGAAATTGAATTGGAGATTATTCTTATACAGAAGTGACTGCTCAATGTAAACTCAGGCTTCAGACCTGTCAAAAATTAAAATTCTGTATTCTACACCCCTTACCCTGATTACATAAGGCGTCACATTGTGCAACGCCGGTGGTCCACCTTTTAGACACCTCGCACCATATAATACAACATAAATACCAAAGTCACCAATGTGTTAATAATTATGATTAACATAATTAACTAATTATAATACTATATTTGTAGTTACTTATACTTGTATTTATTAAAGTATGATATTTTATTTTATTTTAAACAATATATTCTGTTATAATATTTTATCATATCAGAATCAGGTTATTTGTTTTTAATAAGCTCTATTCAAATCCTTCAAAGTAAGTTCAAATACCTTATTTTAAAATAAATAAGGTTAGAACTTAGCCTCTATCGCAGCACAGCCATGAAAAATTTCTCTTTCAGCCTAGTTATAGTTTTGGTCCGCATGAACTATACCTCTCTAGCCTTATGATTATTATCAGTAACCTGAGAAGAGATCTTATCCATATGTTTATTCTGCTTTACTTCCATGTTAAATAAGCCTTCTTAACTATCTCTGAGACAAAAGATTATTAGACCTAGTGTATACTTGCTAGTCTTCAGAATTATATACCTCCTACCAATTTTACTTTACTTTAAAAAACCTGCTGTATTGGAATTGGTTCCTTGCTTTTTTATATTAAAATTAAGGTTTTGTCTATTGCTATACTGTGAGGTACATATATATTTTTAAACTAAAATCAAGCTTGTTATGAATTAAAATTAAATAGGTAAATAGGATTGGGGGGATACGGTTTGGTGTGGGAGCTCCCATAAATCAAGAAATAAATTATCTAGTACCTATAGTAAAACAATACTGACTACTATCTTTATACGATATAGCTTTTTCTACTCCAATCCTAGCATATAGGCTATATAAAAGGAGGCTTATAATGTTAGCAAGAATAACTATATGGTAAAAAGTGAAGAGCCTGAGTTAACAGCTAGGTGATAGACATAAGACATATACTAGAAATACAGCAGCATATAAGGAGTAAAGGATATATTATAGGATAATAGAAGATAGATCCTGGCTCCAAGAGCAGGCGGTTTCAGTAAAGGTGTATTCAGAAAATGAAGATCTGAACAGAATAGAACAATATCTACCTAATAAAGTAAAAGTATGTATTAAAAGAGCAGACAGTATTGAGACAAATAGGGTCTATAACACTTATAGGAAGGAGTAGAAATAAAAGTAGGTTTGTAGGAAACACTTAAACAGGACTCATGAATCAAGTCAGTATCTATATAGTCTGAGTACAGAAAGTAGAAAAAAGATGACCAGTTGCATTTAGATGTGAACAATCTGCATCAGGCAATTCAGTTTTTTTGTTTTTTGATAAGGTACCAAGTACATAGTAGCAGTGATAAAATAACCTACATTATTATGAACATATGGGAAAAAGCATCATCTTAATTGAAATAAAACTGTAGAACCTAGAAGGATTCATATTTGCTCAACTTTGAAGACCTCTATCTAGCTTAGTACTTGTTTCATTCAAACAATTTTTGAGGTTGATCTCCAGTCAACACCCAGTTACTAGTATCCCATCTCCCAGACACAGTACTGGGGATTATTATTATAATATCTTATTATCTTGCTTATGGAGCCAAAGGCTATGAAGTGGCACTATGTACATCAGGGTACTCTCAAGTACCAGGACTATAGATCCATCTCCTACTACATGATAGTGTCATCTTTTCATTGGACACCACATCTAAAGAGCAAACAACAAAATAAAGTCCTCCTCCCCCTCTGAAGCCTAACAAATAAAGGAAACAAAAAGTAATAAAGCCCAAGCAGCCCTGTTCCTCCTGTCAGTTGCTGCCTGGTGTGGGTGTAGGTAGGTAGGACACTCCTTAGAGGTAGCCAGGAGATGGTTACCACAGTTGAGGCAGCAGATTGTCATATGAAGGCATGGCTTGCTCTTGGTAGGGCTGTCTCATCCTCGGCAAGTGTGGAGGTGGGCTGGGTATTCATGTGAACAAATTGTACAGTGGGAGGTTTTGGTGTATTGGGTTGGGTAGTGTCCAAACTCCAAGCATCTGGAGTATTAAGTGTTAGGACCAAAGGTGAGGTAGCGTCACACCTTGAATTTTTTGTCAAAGAGTGAGAGGCCTCTGCTGAGGGCTTTATCTGTAGGGTCTTTGCCAGCAACCATGAGGACCATAGCTGATACAGCTTTGTTCTGGTATTAGGCTTCAGTGGTAAGCTATATAGGAGGGCATGGGAGGTGGGTGCTAGGGTTGAATGCTTCAATCTCTGCCTGGACCGTTGAGAAAGTAGTGGTGGTAGGAATGCTACGAATGATGATCTTATTCCAGACTTCATCATTTCTGAGGCCAGAGGCAGCAGCAATGGTAGTTCCAATAGGTTTCTCAATAACAAAGTGATGGTTTTTGAGGATAGTGGAAGCAGGAGTGTTATCATTAGTAATGAGGAGGACATAGTAGCTAGGCGTGAACTTAATAGTAGAGATAAGCTGTTTTTTGATTGCTCTATTGACAGCATCGTGAATGAGGAGGTGGTTGGTGACAACTGAAAGGGCAGTGCTATCGGTTTAAATAACAATTGTACAATTTTCTGTAGTCAAAACTTCAGCTGACGAAGTCTTATTTAGTGTAGTAGTAGTGAGATGGAGTGGGAGATATTTGGCTGTTCTCGGTGCGCAGGTTTGTTGTGGTAGGAGGTTTGGCTGACTGGGGGGTAGAAGAGGGGGTGTGACGACCCTACGTAATAGAACTATGGTAACCTAAGTCTATGCCCATACATAACACTAAGAGGTCCGATGGTACACTAGGCGGGTATGCTGACGCATATCTGAGGGATATCTGATGGTCCGGATATCCCTAAGAACAGAAGGTACTTAAGGAATTGGTGTACCTAAGTACTGGTAGTAACGTCACAATGTCCACTCTGGCCTAAGGATAGGTCAGAAGGCCGGGTGAGTTTACCCTGTCTAAGGAAGTCACGTTACCCTACCATGGAGACCAGTTTCATGTCACCATGGACATACTTACCCAACCTTTGGGACACTATTACCCTTCCTTCCGTCGGAAATGTTCTTGGAGGAAGTCCGGAAAATGTTAGGATTGTTTGTTACGCAATGATAATTGACGGGCACTTGTTTGCACTTTGATCAGAAGGCTACGGGAGGAGCTATAGTGCTCCGAACAAGCTGTAACTTGAACTTTGGTAGAATTATTCCTAACAGGTACCTGCAGCCCCAGGGTTCGCCCCGGGTGTCATGGGCTAAAATGGGTGGAGTTGCTATCTTACTAGTTAAATGGAATCTATGAAGACATGTCCATAACACTGTATACGTCGCTGCCGTCCGTCCGACCGGAAACAGTTCGCAGGATATATAAGGGGGTGAAGGTGAGAAGGTCAGGTAACTTCTCCCAAAGAAACGTAGTAAAACAGACCAAGACTGACGGAGTTAGCGTGAGCTATCCGGAAGGGTCCCCAGAGTAGTCCTGGGTAGTGCCGGAGACATCTGGGAAGGTTTTATGCCAATCAAGCCTACATATGCTCCTTTCCCGTAACCTCTTTCTGGGTTGTTTGAAAACTCTAATAGCATGATACTTATCACGCTGAGTGGTGTGCCAGGGGTAAGGGACCATGGGTAGCGCCCACGGGTCCCACCACTGACACAGTTCGACATGGGAGCGCTGTTGACCCTCTAAGTTCGCACTTAAGAAAGATAGAACTTAGCTGGGAGACCGCTGATGTCTATGGGACCTTGCATAGGTCATAGCACATGGGAAGAGAGTCAATTAGTTAGCTTTCCAAGGCGTCTCGACAGTTAGCCACTGACGAAACACCGATGCGCAAAGGTTTTCACTCCGGCAGGTGTATTTGTAAACAACTCGCAGGAACTGATATGCATATAGGAGAATTCTGCTGGAGTGCGTTGACACCTTAGCCCCTCCGGGGACACAGTAATGGTTCCAGGGCAACCCTTACGGAGAAGGGCATACTCATATTGGTCGGGGTAACCTGATGGGGGAGTTTTTGGTATAAGTCTGACTACTTAAAGATTATACGAGAACTCTCCTACCCCAACAAAATCAACATCTCCTTGCGAGACTTTAATTGAGATAAGCCTGAGCTTAACAATATTAAGTTTTACTGTTCACTTTTATTCTTTAGACTTTTGCAAGTGCTGTGTTCGAGAGATTCGAAGTTTGGTGCCATCGCATCCTTAGGAACCATCTACCTGAGGGAGCCCCCGTTACAGGGCGGTAGCAGCTTGCTGTTGAAGCTGTTATTAGAGGACTGAAATTTGTTGATTTAGCTCATTGATCTGTCCTTTCAAGATAGCAGTGGCATTGATGTATCTTTGCTAGACAACTCCAAGATAGTTGATAAGTGATTGGAAGAAGTCTTCAAGGAAGTTGACTCACAGGCTAGTATAGTGGGGGATGCCTCTGTCAGAATTAGTTGATTCCCATGGGAACCACTGAGCAGAGCCAGGTATGGGTAGGTTTGGAGTACCCAGAGGCTAGACTGTATCCACAGGTGAAGGAACTTCTTCTTCCATATCAGTGTCTCCAGGCAAGGCTAGAGCTAAGGTACTCTGATAGGGTTAGAATGGGCATGCTAGGGGATTTCCAGCATCCCTGCCTCTGGCTCTAGCCTGAGGAGGTATCAGAGGTAGTAGGAGAACGATTCAGTTGATGAACGGTGATGGGAAACAAATAATAGAGGATGATTTGTTGATGAAAAGTCTGTAAAGTGCATGGGAAAGTGTGAAGATTTAGTTGTTGACTAATGAGGTGGGGGCTCGGTAAACAACTTGGTATGATTTTTTCTTTCGCTATAGTTGTAATCGCAATAGAGTCTTTACAGTGCTCTGGAGAAAATACTATCCTGTAGTAACTATTCCTGCTCCATGCTGTCATCCAAAAAGAAACTCTTTACAATACTATTATGAACTTTTCTTCCATTTCCTATCAATTACCTTCTTGGTCTGTTTGATTCCTGGGACCCATTAACCTATTCCTACATTTACTCCACAAATCAACCATCTCTGGACACTTATCTTATCTTAGATTTGTAGTAAAAACTTCTGAGAGAAGTTAGTTTGACAGGTTAGCAGAATTGTAAATACCACTTAATGAGCTTGAATACATCCACTGAACTCAAGCTATACTATGCTATGACAACTGTAATCCTTCCCTCAACATTCATTCTCCAAATTTGGAAATACTTCAGTTAGGAGACCGTCCTACTAATATGATAATAGTAATATTTCAAGTTAAAAATATGGATATCTACTGGTAATAATAACTTGAAAGCTAAGTTAACTTACTTTATAGTATTAGCTAATAGTATTCATGTATTTTGGATAGCATATTTGAGCATACTATGATAAGTTAAGATAAAGTATTAAAACAAATTAAGGTTCTATCAATACTATGAAAATTTGTTTTATGTGAACAAAAAATCCTAGCTGAGAGGCTTTTGCTAAAAACAAGTAAATCATAGTTCTCCAGATACGATTATATTTTAGATCTTTATTTTTATTTCTTAAAATAATTCTTTGACTTTAACATTATTTCTGCATTCTAGTAAAGTTTGATTACATGGAGTATAACTCCAGATACAGACCTCTTGACCTTGGTAAGAAATGTATTATTAAGTAAGGTCAAGTACTTTTAATATAAAGTAATAGTAAGTTAACCATTCCTGGGTATGCTAAGCTTACATGAAATATCAAGGTAAGCTAACACTCGTCCTACTTTTTCAACATTGAATACCCTACTGGATTTAACGAGTAAAGCCGGGTAGCATTCCTCTTTGTCTTAATCCTCTTGTTATGCAGTAGATCATTGCGTGTACAGTGGTTTCTTGGTCTATGGTGCGTACCGTATCGGGAGGGCACAACAAGCCTCACAAGCACTTCTCGCCTACCGGTATCCGGGTAGCGAGGCGAAGCATTCACGGTGGATCTACCACCCTCTAACTTATCCCAGAATCGTTTGACTCCTCTGTTACCCTGTCTTTGATGACTACCCTTACATCCGTCTTACATCTAGTCTAGTACCTGCACTGTTTGATAACTTGAGAGCTGCACTCCACCAGTCACAAACCGCAACCCACCTCCTGTTCCATTGCCCAACCCACCTCCCGCTACGTAATAAAGTCATGGCTACTCAACCATCCCAAGCTAGCATTGATGCGATGGCTAGAGCCGTTTACGAACAATGTCTGCAGGCTCCAAGCGACTATCTCTTCTCTGTTTCAGAGTTGCAAGACTTGGTCCCTGGGAAAAACAACCTCGAGCTCACACAGAAAGTGCTCAACGAGTTATTACGGACCCGCTCCCTTAGCGCTCTTACCCGGGGCTCGCAGACGGTGTTCCGCTCTGTTCCAAAGGACTTTGCAGAGAAGTGGGTCATATCAGATTGCCGAGTGACTAGCTGAGCGAGCTAATACGGCTGTATGTCTAGGGTCAAAAATATGACGGCGGACGAGGAAATGTTGTACGGGTATATTCAGGAGTCGGCCAGGGAAGGGATTTGGACGAAGCAGCTGAAATTGAAGTCGAATATGCACTCAACGGCGGTTAACAAGGCGTTAAAGGGGTTGGAGAGGAAGAAATATATCAAGTCGATAAAGAGTGTGAATGTAAGTCGCCTCGAATGCTGGGCAGAGGCGCCCCGTCTCAAGAAATTCATAGCAAGGAACCGCGCTTTGCAGGGTGGGGGGTGAGGTGGCGAAACGCAGACACTGGTCTCGGCAGTCTGCACAGCGTTTGGATTGGGGGAATCCCACGGGTCCGGGCTTCCCGGCAATCCCAGCCCTCAATTCAAATCCGAAAGTGACTCAGGAGCTGAGGCTAACGATTCCCTACAGCACCCCGCGCGCAATATATACATGCTCTATGAACTCACACCATCAATCGAAGTCACTGGAGGCCCTTGGTTCACAGACTCAGAGCTCGACAAAGAATTCGTGAATGAACTTCTGACGGCCATCACCAAGTTTATGATCTCAAAGTCCTTCCCAAAGCTATCCAGCCGGGGCGCCATAAGCTCATTCCCACCTGGCCACACTGGTTATCCGACCTTGAACCAAGTCTATCTCTGGGTCAAGAGCAGTAATTTGACAGAGGTTGACCTTGCGGAGGCCGATATCAGAAGCCTACTTGACGTCCTAGTATATGATGGAAAAATAGAGCGGGTAGTGGGAGGAACGGCGTATCGGGCTGCCAGGAGACCAGACAGCATCAACGGGTTTACCGAGAGCCCGTGTGGGAGGTGCCCCGTCTTCACCCTGTGTAAGGAGGGTGGCCCAGTCAGTGCCAGTAACTGCGTGTATTTCGAGGACTGGCTGAATGCTTGATGGCGCACTTATGATTTCGCGTCTTTAGGCCGGTGACCGAGACGGTTTATGTTTGGCATCTTGTACTGTACAATAACCCGGAAGGGTTTTTAATGGGATTTATAATGCAAAGTAGGTGAATTACCCTCGTGCGGGACACCGTTGGCCAGGGAATGGCAGTTATCCCCGCAATTACCATATGGCATGTACCTAGAGGAGTTTATTGGTGTTAGGGTTCAGACAAGTTCGAACGACACCGAGTTTGAGTGAAATGGTGTACTTACCTCATTGTTTCCTAATTTTCAATTTTTACTTTTCACACTCTGTTTGCCGTTCCCCCACCCTGGCTATTTTTTCATCTTTTATTATAATTATGAGGTTTTCTTTCTTCCCCTTTCAAAATAAATATAAATATAACTATGGCTCTGGGAGGCAAGAATCGGGAAAGCTTTGCATCAGATAACTATCTGAAGAACCGGATGTTGTCCCGAGCGGTTAACCGTGCCTTGGTTCAAGTCGCATGAAATAAGTTTGTGGACATGGGGCCTTGGCAAGGCACACAGAAAAGCCTTCTCCTTCACCGATGGCAAGAAATCTTAGTTGTAGTAACAACCTGATGATGCTAAAAATCTAACTGCGAGAAAAACCGCGAAATTGATGACAAGAATTGCATATACATGATTGAGCGGCATGGCATGCTGCTCGCCAATCTTACTTCAAAATTGCTCAGGAACTTGATGTTTCAAAAAGTGCAGCTCACAATATTGTGACCTCCTGGCTAGAGGATTTCAGAATAGACCCTGCACCACAGCCAGGAGCAGCAAGGAAACTGTCTTTAAGTGATAAGAAGTATCTAAAGGTTACCTCTATACAAGGCCCCCATGCAACATTGTATGATCTTATTAGTTTTATAGCGCTTAATGTCTGTGCCAGTGAACATACAGTAGGATACTCCCTACGAGAGTGTAACCTACAAGTTCAAGTCTGTCATTACAAGCCTTGGTTAAGTCCTAAAAGATGCTCTTTACAACAGCAATTTGCATGCCTCCATTGCAAGTGCTCAGGTACCAGGTAGAAGTAGCCTGTTTTTAGAGATGAGGTCTACCTCCAAGTTGGTCTGTAACACCTCCAACCTACTATTTATCCAAGTCACCGACCCAGCACTGCCTTTGAAGCACAATAGCTGGCTCCAACTTTTATTAGAGAGCTAGTCATGGTTATGTTCTTTGCAGCAATCTCTGCTATTGAACATACAAAGCTTGTTCCAATATGAAAATGTACTGAAAAGATGAGAACAAGCAAAAGCAATCAAAGGCAACTGAATTCAATTTAATATGAGAAGGAAATCAGAGTCCCCCCCACCTTTTGCCACTCTACAAGTCTATGAGAGGTCTTGATAATAGTATTGTAATAACTCAATGTTGATAAGCTATGATATCCGATGTCTACCCCTATATATGAGACCTTAAGGTTAAGTGGTAGACTAGGCAGGCATGTAGGACCATGTCTGAGAGATATCCAATAGTCCCAGTATCTCTGCCAGCATGAGGTACTTAAGGGACTAGTGTACCTATGTACTGGTTGTAATATGATAATGTCGACACAGGCTGAAAGTTAGGCCAAAAGGCATAGTGAAAACACTCTGCTTAAGAGGATCATGTCACTTTACAATGGAAACTGCTTTCATGTTACCATAGACATTATTACCCTACCTTTAGAATACTATTGCCCAACATTGCATCAGAAATATTCTTGGAAGAATTTCAGGAAATGTTAGAATTGTTTGTTAGACAATACCAATTGACTAGCACTTACTTGCATATTGATTGGATAACTATCAGAGGAACTAGAGCTCTGAACATACTGTAATTTGGTAAAAATATTCTTAACAAGTACCTCCAGCCCCATGGTTTGTCCTGGGGGTCATAGGCCAAAACAGGTACAGTTGCTATCTTTCTAGTTAAGTAGAGTCAGTAAAGACTTGTCTATAATACTGTATAAGTTTCTGCAATCTGTGTGACCAGAAGCTGTTTGCAAGATATTTAAAAGTAGCAAGGAGAGAGAGGGTCAAGTACCTTCTCTGAGTTGAATTTAGTAATAGGGACCAAAACAGATGGAGTTAGCATGAGCTATCCAGAAGGATTCTGTAATGGACAGGATCTGAGGGTAGGGAAGCCCAAGACACACCATGATCAGAGGAGGCAGGAGTTTGGAGGCAAGGTCTGGGTACTGAGATACAACTGAAGTGAGATGTATAAGGTTCGAGGTTCAGGGGTTCAGGGCCAGGGTTTACGGGTTCCAGAGAACACAAAGCAGAATAGAGGTATAATTCCTAGGTACAGGTATCTGAATTCAAGCTAATTTATTATTTATATTTGTTCCACCTCAAAGGCATATGCTTGAGTGGGACCACCGGCGGTCCCTTAACACCGGCCAGCACTACTAGGAAAGCAACACCCTGAGGCTAGGGTCTCCACAATACACTGGCACGCTCCCTCAAATAACAACTACCATACAAAGCACTCAAGCCTCTGGGTCCCAACCATCCCCATCCTCATAAGCGAGCACCCCAAAGTGCTAAGCACAGGAACCCATTACCGACCCTCGCCTCTCTGGCTCCAACTGACAAACTGACACCCAATCCAATGGAAACAGTGTGACAGAAGTCCATGGTCCCACTGAGTAAGGCGAAGGTAGTTATGGCCTACAACAATTACAAAAATAAAAGGAAATCAACAAATCCAAATCAGGTCGAACCACCATCCCGCAATACCTGCTCCAACATAAGAAACGTCATCTGTGATGCAGCCTCTGTGGTATCCTCCTACTCCTGGCCATGCCCCCTCCCTGAATGTTGTTTGCACTACCGACTCTAGAAGAACCAGCCTCCCCCCTGGTAGTATGCCCCTTTCAACCCTGCACTCCTGCCGCCACCACCAGTGCCCGCTTCCTAGCCAGCTGCCCCAGCAACCTCAATCCGAGAAAGTCAGACATAGTAACCGAAATGCCCAAAGGCGAACCGACAGCACGATGAACTACAGGCGCCATCTACAGAGACCAAGTATCTTACCCTCCAGCCAGATATGGGTTCTTACCCTGAGGCCAATGCCCATGGGAGAGTACCCAGGAGGAAGGTACGGCCCAAAGCAACATCCACCACCACTGTAATCACCGAGCTGTCTGATGTGATAGTGAAGGCTGGAACCTTCCTTCAACAGAATTGAAGCCTCATCCAGCGACACTGAGAGAGAAGACAAGGCCAGAGCGACCTTGCCTACCCAGAGGCAAGAATCTTGCTTAGATATGGTAGCCACCAACCAAAGAGGACGAATGATGGAAACGAAGAACCTAAAGGTTAGAACAAAAGAACAAAGGCCTTCAAGGCAGAAGGTTGTAAGCAAAGGTGAAGATTCCTTCTCAAACAAAGACTTGAAACTATTGTAAGATAAAGTCAAGAAAAATATGGAGTTTAGGAGGACCCTAGGAACGTAAGAAAGGGTGGCTGAATTTCATTTTAGACTAGTCGTGCTAAACTAGTATATGATCTAGTCCCCACCTGAGGAGAGGGTTAACGTGAGCGAAGGGTAACCCTACTACTAAGTACAAGATACCCCAACCCCCTATGATGCTATACCCATACAAGATACTGAGACCTCCAAACCTGTATCTTCCTGACCTGTTAGCGATACCAAGGAAACACCACAAGACAACACCCCTGCCCAACAAGCATCCAGAAGAGCTAAGTACAAGTGTATCAACAGCCCGGCACCCATCCATGTTACCCATAGACACTCAGGTAGGTGCCCAACCATACGTCGCATAGCCCAAGCAGAGCAATTGACCAGTCACAGAGATCCCAGCCAAAATCAGACTCCATTGCTATTACAACTATAGCGAAAGAAAAAACCACACCAAGTTTTTCGCTGAGCCCCCACCTGATTGGTCAACAACCAAATCTTCACGCTTCACCACCCATTTTACAGACTTTTCATCAACAAATCATTCTGTATTATTTGTTTTCCATAACCTTTTATCAACTGAGTCCTTCTCCCATTACCTCTGATGCCTCCACGGGCTAGAGGCAGAGGCAGGTGTGCTGCCAACCCCCTGGCACACCCAATTTCAACCGCACCAGAGTACTCCAGCTCCAACCACGCCTGGAGACACCCACATGGATGAAGACTTTCCTTCTCCTGTGGAGACAATCCAGCCTCCTGCTACTCCAAACCAACCCACACCAGGCTCTGCTCAGTAATCCCCATGGGAACCAAACAATCCTGACAGAGACACCAACCTCTGCACCAAACTACGAGTCAGCTACCTTGAGGACTCCTTCCAATCACTTATCAACCACCTCAGCATGGTCCAGCAAAGGCACATCAGTGACTGTACTGTCTTGAAAGGGCAAATTGACAAGCTCAACCAACAAGTTTCACACCTACGAGAACAGCTTCAACAGCCTGCCACCACCCCCGCTCCCCTACCCCCAATACTACCAAACCCCCCACCTCAGCAAACCTGGGCCCACAGGATACCCAAAACACTCCCTGCCCACCCCTCTACAAGCAGACCAAACAAAACTCCACCAGCTGAAGTTTTGACCAAATGCGACCATGCTATTGTTATTGATAGAGACGGCACTACCCTCCCCGATGACACCAACCACCTCTACATTCACGATGCTGTCAATACAGCTATCAAAAAACAACTTATCTCTACTATTGAGTTCACGCCTAACCGGCATGTCCTGCTCATCACCAAGGATAACACTCCTGCCTCCACCGTCTTCAAGAACAATGGCTTTGTTATTGAGGAAGCTATCAGAGCAACTATTCCTGCCGCCTCTGGCCTCAGAAAAGATGAAGTCTGTGTTAAAAATCCTACCGAGTAGGACCAAGCGACAGATGACGATACTTCTCTTGATGTAAGGTGAGAGGTCTCAGGCCTATGCCTACGCAATCCTGACAGTCCAGTCCTACAACTACTATCTTGTTCGCGCCTATCTCCTCACTCTTCTCCTT